CCAAAAAAAAAAAAAAAAAAAAAAAAAAAGGCTCCCTCCTTGGACCTCAGGTCCATCTGAAGAGTTCTCTTCCTGAGTTTCTTAACTGCTAAGCCATGCACCACAAAGTCTCTCACCTTGGGGAGGTGCCTGCTCTGGCCTCCATAGGTCTTCTCCTTGCTCCAGCTGAGAGATCACATCTGGTTTGGAAAGCAGAAGGCCTGGTCACAGGGGAAAGACATAGGACTTGGCACTCTGCTTGGAGATGAAAAACCATGTCCTTAGGACCAGACCCCAGGCCCATCCCAAGGAAACTTCCTGCTCCCTGGACAAGTCACAAACATTCCCCAGGGGCAGAATAACTGGCAATACCCAGGACCTGCATCCCAAAGGGACCTGCTTCCAGAATGTTCTTGCCCACCCTGGAACACCCTTCAGAAGTGCCACAGCTCTGAGTCATGGAGACAGAAACCTCTTGCCATGGGCAGAGCCCACCTTACCCAGGGAGACCAGATGCCTACAGGTCTCCAGTGTCACATCACGGTACAGTGTTCTCTGGGCTGGATCCAGTTGCCTCCACTCCTCCTGTGTGAAGGTCACAGCCACATCCTCGAAGCTAAGAGGTGCCTGAAACATCACATGCCACTGCTCATGAGACACAGAACCCAGGACACATGTACAGGCTCCTGCTATGGTCTCAATGTTGGTGTCCCCCCAGAATTCACAAGTTGGAGTCTACTACCCAATGTGATAGTATTAAGATGTGGGGCATTTACAAGGTGATTAGGTCATAAAGGTTTCACCCTCATGAATATGATTAATGCCCTTAAAAAAGAGGTTTGAGGGAGCCTGCTCATCCCACCTGCCATGTGAGGACACATAAAAGGTGCCATCTGAGGAAGCAGGCCTTCACCAGACACCAAATCTGCTGGCAACTGGCTCTTGGAATTCCCAACCTCCAGAACTGTGAGCAATAATTTCTGTTTATAAATTACCAGTGTAAGTAAGGCATTTAATTACAGCAGCCCAAATGGCAGGTCCACGTACATGGTATGCGCTTCTACTTCTCTCTGAGCATCTCACCTATTTGCCAGTCACACCACTGATCCTGAGTTCCGGACTGGAAATGATGGGAACTGCACTAGGAGATCCCCACCCCCAGCTTCTTGATAAAATCACAGATTCAAAACCAGGCAAAGAAAACACTCAGCAAACTACAGCCTGTAGGACAAATCTGGAGTGTGGTGTATTTTCAGAAGGCTAATGCTATAGACTAAATTGTGTCCCCCAAAATTTATATGTTAAAGCCCTAATTTCTAATGTGACAATATTTGGAGATAGGACATTTAAGGAGGAGTAAGGTTAAATGAGGTCATAAGGCTAAGTCCCTAATCCAATGGGACTGGTGTCCTGTAAGAAAAGACACAAAAGAGGGTTCAAACTCCCTCTCCAAACTCCATGTAAGGACACAGCAACATAAGGACAGACTTCTGCAGGCCAGGAAGAGGGCCCTCGCCAGACATTGATCATGCCAGCACCCTGATCACTGACCATGCCAGCACCCTCCAGCCTCCAGAACTGTGAGACAAAAAGTTTCTGTTATTTAAGCTAGTCTGTGCCATTTTGTTACAGCAGCCTGAGCTAACTAATTTAGCTAAGAATGGATTTTACATTTTTAAAGGGAGGGAGTGGAGGAGGACTCGGGGAAAAGGGGAGGAGACAGAGACCATATATGGCCCGCATAGCCTAAAATAGTTACCATTTGGCCCTTTACAGAAAATGCCTGCCAACCATCCTCTCAAGCAAGGGGCTATAGGCCCTGGGGGCCAGGCCTGAGATGGTGTCCTATCTTTACACTTTACTGGCTGGACACTTGGACATGTCCTTGAACTTCTCCAGCATGTGCTGCCGTGATGTGGCTATGAAGATAGCCTCCAGCATGGGGGCATCTCACAGGATCCAAGGAGCACTGGACCCCTGGCACCCAGGCAATGTGTGTTGCATTGGTACGCTGAATGAGGTCAGAGACCTGTGCTTCACACCAAGGGTTACACTGTGAACAGCAGACCCTTTAGGCGACACTGGTACTTTAAGGAGACACCCTCCTGAGTGCTCTCAGTGAGGATCTAGGGGTCAGTGTGGCTGCCCAAGGATATGAGGCTTAGTCCTGCCCGCACTCAAGTGCCCAATGAGCAAGCACCACAAGTAAAATGTCTGAAGCAGAGACCTGGCCCAGCAGACCAGGTGTGGATGCCTCATGCTGGGTCTGCTCAGAGGTGCTTTATCTGCAGAGCCTGGAGGTTTCACCAGGAAGCATAAGCCTGCATTATGGAGCTCTCATGTGCCAGCCTGAGGAGGCAGGTGCTATTCTTGGACCCATTTACAGCTGAGGAGACTGAGGCACCGAGAGCAAAGGTCCCCCACTCACCTGGGATGGGATGGGCTGAGAATATGCTTCCATTTCCTCCTCATACCTGAAGAGACTGTTGTGAAGAGGGCAGAGGTCCTCAGAAGGCAGGGCTGCAGTGGAGGAACAATTAGGGATTCAGTCCCACCTCAGTTTCCCCACTCCCTGAGCACCACCCCCAACCCCAGATAAAGCAGAGTGGCTGGCAACATTGCAGGAACATTCTCTCGGGGTCTGAGGAGAAGGGAAGCCAGCTCCTGAGTGTCCACCTGCTGAGCTTCCTCCCTGTCTAAGCTCTGAGGTCAGCAGAGGTGGCTTGGAGGGCATTCCAGTTGTAGGAGTGGGCCTCACACTGGACATGAATCTGGACTTCCCCAGGCTCCAGGTGAATGCCTGGGCACGTGCTAGTGTCCTAACTGTGAGTCCACAGATACACAGCCAACCCTCAACAGTCAAGTACAAGGAGAGGCCAATTTATCCTGTCATTTCAAGACACCAAGTAAGGGGAGGTGGAGGAAGGGTGTCAAAGCAATTGTACAATTTAAAATATCACAGTGAAACATAAACACAGAAACAACAACAGGAGAGTTCAGACAAGGAAGATCTGAAAAATCCCCAGGAGGACAGCAGAGGGCACGCCCTCCCTTGGGCAAAGCTGGGGGTGCGAGGATGCTGTCCCACTGCCAGGGCATGCCTATCATTTCCTGCTTTACTGAACTTGGTCATAGAACATACTATGTATATTCTGCTTATTAACAACTTGGCTGCAACCACATCACTGTCCCACTGAAAGAGTCTGAAAAAATCCTCTGGAATCTTGCACCAAACCCTTCCCCATATTTGCCTCCCATCACTGCACTTGTACCAAGCACACCCACACCTACACCCGTGTGCACACATGTACACCATCTCTTCAGTCACTGGTCATTCAGGATGACTGAACATTCCAGAAACATACCCTGCATCTATGCCTTTGCTTATGCTGAAGAACAGTTGCTCTGATGGTGTCTTTAATTTGCATAGTTGCTACGGTTTGAATGTCCCTCCAAAGCGCATAGAAGCTTGAACCCATTGTAACTGTTAAATGGGTAGGAAATCAGACTATTGTATTAGTGGGGCCTTTGGGAGGTGATTGGATTGTGAGGACTCTGTCCTCGTGAATGGATTAATGGTTTTATGGGTTATTAGGGTGCAGACTGGGGGGATTTACAAGGAGAGGAAGAAAGGAGGTGGAAATGTGCTCTTCTCATTCCTTGCCATGTAATGTTCTATACCATCTAAGACTCTGTAGAGTTCCCACCAGGAAGAAGGCCCTCACCAGATGTATCCCTTGGACCTTGGACTTCCCAGTCTTCAAAACTGTAAGAAATAAACCTCTTTTCTTTATACATTACCCAGTTTCAGGTATTCTATTTTCAGCAACAGAAAATGGACTAACACAATAGTGCTTTCTGGTTCACAAAGAGCCTTGAACTCTGACCCCCTGGAAAAGTGAAACAATCCCCACATAGGCTAGAGGAGCAGATAAAGAGAACCCCCTGCAGAAACCAAACACCCTTACTTATCAGTTCTTGCAGGCAGATACTCACCATTCTACCAGGTTTGAACAATAGCATTTTTCTCATCCCATATTCTCGAGAAAACCAATTTGCAGTGGAAAATCAAATATTGAGCCACGTACTGTGAAAATCTCACTTTCTCCACGCCTTATTTTTCAGGCAGTTCTCACCTTTCTCTTCAAATGCTTGGGAAACTTCTTCCACCAGTGTCATCTCTTTGTTGCAGTTGTCCAGGTGCTGGGGCTTTGTTTAGGGCCTGAGCTCTCCAGAGAGGGTGTTGGGGAACCACTCCTGGACAGGAATGCAGTGCCTGGGGCTGAGCCAGGGCCTCAAAAGGGCCTGAAAACTTGCAGCTGCTGGAACCATGTCCTCCTCAATGACTCTCTCATTTCCCAGGCAATCTCTTCTGAGAATTCTATTGCTCCCAAACACTTATGGAGTCTGAGAACTACTTTCTTAAGGTTAATCTTGCAGGGACACTCTCTCTCTGGGCACAACCTTCATGGCGGGTCCCAATCTCTCTTCTGAGTGGACACTTGATATTCTTCAGGCAAACCAAGCACTCAAGTCCTCCAAAAATAACTAGAAAAAGAAGACAGAGGGGGTTGAGCAGTAAATTCAATGCTCAAACATAAGACAATGCCTTCAAAAAATAGGGATTATATTTGACCTCGGTGTCAGGGCCAGCCTGGATAGGGCATCAACAAACACACAAGAAAATGAATGCGGAATGATTAGAGTTACTATCAAATAACAAGTTTGGGGTGGGCGAGACCATTCATACCTCACGAAAAAACATTTAAAGCACAACATGAGCCCATGACAAAATGTTTAACTTGCAAGCCATTTAGAGTTGGTGTTGAGTACACATTTACCTGACTCTCAACATTAACCTTACTCAAAAGAGCAAAATGACCATCACACACCTAACAGAGTGAGTGTGCAGTAAAGGGCTGACCCAGTGTCTTTTTGATGTACCGTACCTGTGAGTATAACAGCTTTTCTGAGTTCTGAGAGTCCTTCTAGTCAATCATCAAACCTAAGGGTGGTCTTGGGGACTTCCCCACAGTGTCAGGTTCAAATAAAAGACAAAGCCACAAAAATAAACATGCCTTTAGGAATTTAGAGCATTTCTTTATTGCAGTGGTTCTCCACTGTGGGCAGTTTTGCCCTCAGGGGACATTTGACAATGTTTGAATACATTTTGTTTCTCACAACTCAGAGGAGGGGAGGTATAGAAGGGGAATGCTAGTGGCTACCATATAAGGGGCAGAGGCCAGGCAGAGGCCAGGGATGGTGCTAAACACCTTACAGTGCATAGGACAGCTCCTACCACAGAGAATGATCCAGCCCCAAATATTGTTAGTGTTGAGGTTGAGAAACTGCTTTACAAGAAGATGGGAACTTGAGGGCAAGGCTATGTCATAGGGGCACCAAAACTTTTCAGGTCTGGGCCAACTGCACAGATTAGCAGGTGTGAAGAAAATCCATGGCTAGAGGTTGGCCAGCCCTCTTTATTTTCATCAATTTCTCTTCCTGAATAAAATGGAGAACTCAGAGGCTAGTCAGAAGTGGCAGTAAACTCTCAGAAGACTCTTACCTCCCATGCATCAGAAGAAACCCATGCAAAGGGCTGTTCCTCACCATGGTTCTACCAAACCTGTGTCCATATGCCCTTCCATGCTTTTTCCTCTGCCTGTCTCAGCTGATCTCAATCCCTCCCTCTGCACACTGATCAGGGTTTTCCATTTAAAAAAAAAATTTTTTTTTT